CTCTCCGCCCCCATGCCCTTGTTTATCCAAGGCAGACTCTCACTCTATTGTCCACATCAGCCTGGAACTTGCAATCCTCCTGCCTCAGCCTCCTGCACACTGGGAGTGACAGGCCACCACACCTGGCTTGTTCATAGACCCTCCTGTGTGGCAACTGAAAATAAATACTTTTGGATTTAGGCATTCCCTTTTCTTCTTCCCATACAAATGCTAATTACATAACACTCAGGTTTCTGAAATCACTGATTTGCATATTCATGAGCCCTGTGGCCTCCTGTTGCTGAGGCAGCTATTGAAGCCTGTCTTCCTGATTCTGAACAATCAAATTAAACCTTTGCTAGCACAGGAGAGCATATTCCGAGATGCTCAGGAGGAAACGCTGACAGATGTGTAGCAGTTGTAATCGAGACAAAGGCCAGGTCTGGCTTGTTCACTGTCAGGGTAGCGGCTTTTATAAAGCATTCATCATATCTTGGCTTCGTCTGGGTGCCTGGCTTCAGCGAGCTCTGTGAGACCATCAGGGGCAGAACAGGCCCTTGCTTGACATTCTCAGCAGGGGATCTGGCAGAGGGGAAGATGCTAGAGTCAGAGTTCCCGGCCCAAATGCCTCAATAGTCCAGGGACCTGAAAGCATTCTTGGCAAACCATTGTGCGGATGGCTGCCTCTGCCCCTCTTTCTAGGCAGATAACTTTGAGCAGTCTAGCCCTCGACAGTGTTCTTCGGGGGAGATGCTGGGAGATAGGATGAGAAACTTTCCCAGTAAACCACACACAGGAAGAGGATGGAGGGTCAGAATTCACAAATGTAGACAGTTCTTGAGGGGTAAAGGCACACTGTGGGAATTTCCAGAGATGTTCACCAAAACGTGAGCGAGTCCTTGCTGCTTGGCCAAGGATAAGAAGGCACAATGTACGTGTTACTAGCCTTCGTCGTTAGACTTTGTCCTGATGTTGCTCTCCTCGTCGGAGTCCTCCGTCAGGTTATCTATTTTATTCTATTCTCACTTCTGCACATGGCAGAAAGTTTATGATACTTGTCTTTCTGTATCTGTTGCTTACGGAACTGACGTGGACCACCATTTACTGTCCTGAAATGGCACGGTTTCATTCTGCTTTTTTGGCTGGATGAAACTCCACTGTGTGTATCTACATAGATAGATAGATAGATAGATAGATAGATAGATAGATAGATAGATAGATAGATAGATAGATAGATACATAGATAGATAGATACATAGATAGATAGATAGATAGATAGATAGATAGATAGATAGATAGATAGATATAGATAGATAGAGATACATAACATGCATTGCCTTTATCCGTTCGTCTGTTGACAGATGCTTAGGCTGATTCCATAGCTTGGCAATTGTGATGAATCTGAGGGTGTTTTTATTAACATAAAAATACTGAGCTGAGCATAGTGATGCATACTGTCAAGTCAGCACCCTGGAGGTGGAGGCAGGAGGATTGAGAGTTCAAAGTCACCTTTGACTACAGAACAATCTTCAGGAAACATTTTCTCTAAACAGATACTACTGTGATAGAAAAAAAGAAAAAGGTGTTAATGGTAGAAAATCCAGGAAAATATGGCAGTGGGTCAGTAAAGGGAAGAGAGAAGTGTTGAAAGGAGGCCGTTGGTTTGTTTCCTGGCCGCCCGGCAGTGAAATAATCACACAGAAACCATATTATTTAAATCACTGCTTGGCCCATTAGCTCTAGCTTCTTATTGGCTAACTCTTACATCTGAATTTAACCTATTTCTATTAACCTGTGTATTGCCACGTGGCAATGGCTTACCGGCTAACATTCTGGTGTCTGTCTCCGGCGAAGCTACATAGCTTCTCTCTAACTCCTCCTCCTTTCTCCCAGCATTCAGTTTAGTTTTCCTTCTCCCCCACCTACATCTATTCCCTGCACAGGCCCAAGACAGTTTCTTTATTTACCAATGGTAATCACGGCATACAGAGGGGAATCCCATATCAGGAAGTCATCTATAGTATTCCCACACAGGAAATCCACCTGTTGTTGTTTTATTTCCTAATGATGTTTCATCCATGGCTACAAGTGTTTGTGTGCATGCATGTGTGTGTATACATACATATATGTGTGTATATATGTATGCATAGACTTAAGCTTAAACCGTATTCCCTTCTTACTAACATCTTACTAACTGTTAAAGTTGAAGCCACAGGGAGGGAAATGAGATTTTTCAGAAATGTGTCATTTCAAATGGAAAATGTTCTCCCTCTATTATTAAATAAGGATCAGTGCATTTGCTCATCGCAGTCTATGTGTGAGCCGCAGATCATGCTCAGTCTGTGCCTTTTCAGAGTCTGTGATGTTTGCCCTTTTCTTTACATGAATTTTGCTTGCTTGTGTTTTCTGATTTTTCCCCAGTGGATCATGTTACCTTTGGTCTTAGATGCATGAACTGAAATACCCCAACCAGACCCATCTTTAAGAGTAAGCTAACCCTTCCCTCCTTCATTCCTTCCTGAGACCTCGTTTCATGTAGTCTAAGCTGTCATTGGACTGATAATGACCTTGAACTTTTGGTCCTCCTGCCTTGAGGGCCCTGTTTTCTGGGATGACAGATGTATGTCACTGTGTCCTAGGGTGATTCTGTGCAATGCTGGAGCTTTCTGTGTGTTAGGCCAGCACTCTCCCAACTGGGCTGTTTCACAGCACCCTCTGTGATGTGAACTTTCATGAACAAGTTTACTCTCTTCATTTTCTTCAAATTCCTTGAGTAGAATCATAGGTTTACCTGTTCATATCATGTAGGATGGCTTGTAGCTAAATTATCTTCATCACTGGAAACATTTTTGAATTTTTATGCTTGGGTTTGGTTTTTGTTGTTGATTTGGGTTTTTTTTGTTTTTGGACCAGTGCTAGGGCCAGCCTGAGCTACAGAATGAGAAGATCCTGCGGAAGGGAGGAAGGAAGGAAGGAAGGAAGGAAGGAAGGAAGGAAGGAAGGAAGG